ACAGCTCATCTAAACACAGAGAACAGACTAGGGTGTAGCCAACCACTCTGGCGTGTATGGTCAGTGATCAGGCCAGGTTGAGGTCTCAGTAAGCCAACACCATTGTCAGGGGGTTCTCCAGAGACACAGAGTATACCCTACATAGACCAAGCAGGCAGAGATCCAAGGGCAATCTCCCACGGACATCAGGCACAGCAGTTAAGATACTGCTTAGGATATCGGCAGCTCATATTGGAGTACCTCCAATGCCCGAGTCCAAGTGCCGTCCATGCTCCCCTCTAGCGTCCTGCTGGTGTTCACCCTGGGAGGCAGCAGGAGTAGCTCAAGTAACTGGGTCCCTGCCAACCACACAGACCTAAATCATGCTGCCACCGCCAGCAGAGTGAGCCAGTAGCAACAGAGCCCTTTCTGCCTTTCAAAAACTTTTTTTTTCCAAAAAAAATGAACTGCCTTCAGTTTGTTTTTGTATTTTTAGTTCTTTTTTAACAATACGCTTACAATATTATACTTTATGTCTTTTCCAGAGTTGACAATTCCAATATTTTTACTTCTGCCCAGACCTGTCCCCTGAATTCCATATCCAACAATTCCACGTGGCTGACTAAAAGCCATCTTTCACATAACATACTGAAAACTGTTCTCCCACGTCCTCTTGCCCTGAAACTCGCTTCTCCTACAGCCTCCATCTCAGCAAATAACCAAAACAACATAGTCAAATTCTCAAATTCTGCATTTCTCTACCTTATAACCAAAAAAGTCAGAAAATATTGTTGGCTCTAGCACACACAAAATATATATGCAAAGCTAAACCATTCTTTTCCCCCCACTGCTACAACAAAATCAACACCATTCGTCCATCTTGTTATTCCACTTAGCCTAGTCTCTCGGTTCCAACCCTACCCCACCATTATCCTAGTCTCTCTTGTTTTTTTTTTTTTTCTTTTTAAAGGCTTATTTATTTTTTATTTAAAAAGCAGATATATAGAGAGGAGGTGAGACAGAGAGGAAGATATTCTGTCTGATGATTTACTCCCCAAGAGGTCGCAATGGCTGAAGCTGAGCCTATCTGAAGCCAGCAGCCAGGAACTCTTCTGGGTCTCCATGGGTGCAGGGTCCCAAGTCTTTGAGCTGTCCTCGACTGCTTTCCCAGGTCACAAGCAGGGAGCTGAATGGGAAGTGGGGCCACCGGCACCCATATGGAATCCCGGTGCATTCAAGGCAAGGACTTTAGCTGCTAGGCCACGGTGCTGGGCCCTACCCTGGCCTCTTCTAAATAGAGTGTTGAGAGATACACATGTAAATTCTGTATTGAATCATACCAATCCCTTTTTTCAAGATTTCTTACCTTACTACAAAAACTTTCACAGTAACTTACTTGGCCAAACACAACCTGCCATTACTGTCTGAATCTCACTTCCCTGTTGTTTATCCCACTAAAAATTAATCTCATTTCTGTCCTGTGAACAAATGTCAAGTTTTGTGTGCTTTATGGCTACAATAACAAGCCATCCCAAAATACGTTGGCTTAAAACAAGTTACTATTTCACACACTTTCTACGAATCAGGAATCCAGTCGCGGCTGAGCTGAATCTTCTGCTGGTGTTTCCTTCAGAACATGTACATCTCACGTAGTTAAGGAACCACTTCCATCTTCATTCTTAGTTGTCACCAGGATGCCAGTCTTGGCCTGACACCCTCAATTCTTTGCCAGCCTCTCTAAGGTTAACAGCTTCCTTCTTCAAAGCAAGCAATTGCAAAGACAAAGGAGTGACCCAAAGATAAGGCTGGCTTCTTTATAGCCTAATCTCAAAGGAGACATCTCATCACTTTGCTCGTCAAGAGAAGATTACAATACAAAAGAGGAGCAGGAGAGGGCAGCCCGGGGAGGCTTTCTCCTACCACAGCAAGTCTGGTCCCACCCTGGACGAGCTGCTCTTGGGACATTCGGCCAGGCATCTGCACATTTCTCTCTTACCTTCTTGAAGTCTGATCTCATGTTACCTTCTCAGTGAGATCTTCCCTTAAAGCTTCTTCAAAGTTAAGATTCCTACCCCACAAACCCTTCTCATTTTCACCTCTGCTTTTTGCTCCACAGACCTTAGTTGTTTTTTTTTTTTTTTTTTGCATACCACGTGGTTCATCACAGCTTCACTTTAATCTAGCTAAGCTTACACTTTCCTTTGCTTCCCTGACTAGAACATACCAGAGAAGACATTCTGCATGACACAGTTTTCTCTCAGCAGCTCAGTGCAGGGCATGAGACAATGAACTTCAAACCATGAAGTTACCAATCATGAGCTAGCTCATCCAGTAGGTATGGTGCAGTAACCAGGTTGATGGCTTTTTCCACAGGGCCAACTTCCACCCTCACCAACCCCTTAGTCCATGACAAGGATACCAACCTCTCAGAGGCTGCCCACCACCAGTTCTTGGAAGAACACAGAGCCAACTCCAGTGTATTCCCAGGATTTGCAGTTTCTCCTCACAAATGCTAATTATTGTTATTTCTACCACTACATAACTATTTAAAGACAAAAAAAGACTCATGGAAAATGGGATTAAATTATTTAAAAGGGAAACTTTCTCAATATTATCTCCATCAAATTCAAGATTATTTTTTAAGTGATTCCACAGACAGCACTTGCTTGTCACAGCAGGCTGACTTTTTAAAGGCCCAGAATTACCTGAGTGGGGCCAAAAACAACACTAAGAGCATGAAATTCAATCCAGGTAACTATGGAGGAACACAAACCCTACCTGCTTGCATCAAGACAGCTGCTCCTCAGGTCTACACCTGCAGCAAGCTGGAACTTTGAGCTAGACCCAGGCAGCAGCAAGCTCAGGTACTCTGTCTGAATCAGGGTGCAGGGATTCCAATAGGTACTTTAACCACTCAGCCAAATGTCCACCCTCAAAGGGTCTTTAAAGAAATACCAACAGCCATTTCATCCATCCCTAAAACTGAGGATCCTGAGAACTTAGCCATGTCACTACAGTCTTTTTCACATTACTAACCGAAGAAAAAAAATTTTTTGAAAGATAATTTTTTTTTAGGATTAGGAAATCAAAAGAACTCACCAGGAGCCAACTAATGATTTCCCTTCCAAACGCTCATAAAACTGATTGGACAGTCTTGAAATATCACCACAGCAGATTTAATAAAAATTGATTTGAGGTCATAAAAATTGTGTTCAAATGAAAATGCGAACCGTGATATTCTAATCCCTATACCCCTGAGTGATTGCCGGTGCATGGAGAATAGGTCTTTACACTGATGAAGTTAAATAAGGTCATTAGAGTGGACACTATCCCAATGCATCTAGTTTCCCTTTAAGGTGATGTGACGAAGAAAGGTGCTTAGGAAAACAGATATTATGGAGAAGATGGTCAGGGACAGAATCCTCAGAGCAGAGCCTGATCACACGGGGCTGGCTGCCTCAGGAGCTGTAACAAAAACACTGTTCTCTGGAGCCTATCATGCCACTGCGTTTTGTTAGAGAACCCAAGCAAACACTCAGAGCTACCTAACAAGTCATTCTAAAGAGAACGCTATCCTGAAGCCCAGTGCAATGGCTGACTAATCCTACCCCTTCAAGTACCGGAATCCCATACAGATGCCAGTTCTGCCAGTTCATGGCCTGGCTGCTCCACTTCCCATCCAGCTCCCTGCTTGTGGCCTGGGAAAGCAGTTGGCTATGCTCAAAGCCTAGGGACCCTGTAACAATGTGGGAGACCTGGAAGAAACTCCATGCTTTGCATCAGCTCAGTTCCAGCTGCTAGGGCCATGTGGGGTGTGAACCAGCAAGGGGAAGATCTTTCCCTCTTTATCTCTCCTTCTCTCCATAAATCTGATCTGCCTTTCCAATAAAAATAAATACATCCTATGTAAACCTCAATCCTACATAACTGTTTCGGTTCAATACCAAGAAGTTAGAGAGAGTGAGGTTAGAGGAACACAGGGTGAAACGTGGTAAGCCAAATAGTTCTGGCTTTTTCCAATTAAAATGTATCTCCGACAGGCTTGTGTATTCCAATTGTTGCTGTTATTCAGTTCTTCCCCCCAAGAAAGTAAGCGCTGACTTGGCCGAGTTTCTCTGGTTATTCCCTGCAGGGCAGTTGTGACAAGGTGTGGTCCCAGGTGGGCTGGCACTACTTACTAAGCAGCACCTGGACCCCTTTGTGACAGACCCGGAGCGCAGAAAGCAGCATATAAAAGAACGTGTTGGTGTTAGTAAGCACGTGTCTACAACGACCCCTAGACGCCGGGACTGCCACCTCAGGGCAGAAGTTCCAGCCTAGAGCAGGGGATTAGGACGCGGGCGCAGCGCCAGCGCCCGGCAGGCACAGGCTGCGGGTCTCCTGCGCGCTACACCCAACCGCGTCTGCTTCTCCCTGGGTGTTTACGAAACCATCTCGTGAGGATGTAATGTTGTCAACAGACTAACGATATTTTACCAAAAACAAAAGGAAACAGAAACAGAGCCGCCCCTTACGCCGGCCCTTCAGAAACGGCGATTCTGACACGAAAATTAAGGGAAAAAAAAAACCTCAGGGAAACAGAGCACATACATGGTAGTTTCACATACACGAACCTACCAAGAAGCCTAAGCAGAGAAATGCTGGACCTGCTACTCCAGAAACAATACTGACTTCCAGAACAACTACACTACACTGGAAGCAATGCCACCTCGACACGCAACAGGAAACAGCCAGCGCCACAATTCTACGATCTCGCGAGAACTTGGCGGACCGCCCCTTGCGGCCATGCGCCTGGATCCGGGGCTCTGAAGCAGGGAGGGGGGAAAGGGGAGGGACAGCAGGAGAGGGGAGGAGCCATTTTGAAGAGGCTAGCCAATGGCAAGGACGGACTCGGGACAAAACGGAGGGGTGAGACGGAAGGGGAAGGCGATAGGCCCCGAGCTTCTCAGGACCGCCCCGGAAAGCGTCATAAGCAGTATAAGGTGACGTGCACGGCAGCCCTCTTCCTTTCACATCCTGGGAGCGGCTGCGGTCAGCTTGATCGGTACGCCAGCGTGGTGGTCGGGCCGAGCGCGTGCGTTCTATTAAAATGCGGGAATTCTGAGGTTGCGGTGTGCGGTCCGGCCGGAGCTGAGGTTTGGAGGCGCGTTGGGCGCTGCGGACGCGGCCGGACGGCGGGGTGGCGGGGTGCGGGCGCGCGAGCTCCATGTGTCTTTGGGACCTGTCGGCTGTGGCAGTCTCCCTTCCTAGCCATGGAAGAGCATTATTCTTGTTAATTGGCAAAGCTGTCACCATTTAATTGGTATCAGATTCTGACTTGGACAAGTAACAGTCTCGGTTTGGAGTTGGGAGTAACGGGGAGGACGGAGGCCGCGGGTTGTCGGGTTCACGTTTCTGAAACTGCGGTTCGCACAATTCCAGGAACTGGAGCGCAGTGCTTCGGACGGAATGCGGGTCGTGCAAGAGGCAAGTGCGCCCGGGGCCCTGTGTCCCTGGGAAGGAGCTCCGGCACGAGGGTTGGGGCCGAGGTCAGGGCGCAGACCCCAGTCGTAACGCTGCTTTTCATGTCTTGCAGGTACCGAGTCCTAAGCGGTAACGGAATCCTGCGGGGGATCACTCAGCTTCCGAGTTGGTGGGAGGGATCGCTGGGAACAGTGCGCTGTGCCCAAGGGAAGCCCCCGTTTTTGTGCTTGGATGTGATGAAATAAATATATTTACATAAATAACTCCAGTGTCTTTAGTGAATTATAGATAAAATTTAATGCGCTAACCCTCCGGGAGACTATTTTTCCATTGCCATGCAAAAGATAACAGCAGTCCATGAGGCAGAAGGTAATAAACTTTATTTACGCAAACGCAAAAACTGACAAACTTGGTTATAAGGTGTTTTCATGGGTTAGCGGAGTGGAGTGCAGTCTGCTGTATCAAGTTGAACTCGGCGGGCAGCTGCAGTAACATGTAAACAATACGGTTCCTATAGGCTAACGCTTTGTAAAGCTGAGGGGCACGATTTGAGAGCAATGAAAGTGTAACGGTGATGGCTGTGAGGGTTACTGACACCAACCATACCCCTGGACTTTGGGGGAAGAACTATAAACGATTTTTTTGCCATCTGGGGAACTGGCGTTAATAGGTAGAGATGGGTTTTGGAGGAGCCCAAGGACTGCATACAGCTTCCCCAGGCTGCAAATGGAGGGATCTTGAATGGAACCGCGTGGTGCAGCTGGAGGGGAGCCAGGTCTTGGGTGTTAAATCTTAAGTTTCATATGTCAGTTGCCCAGCAGTTACGCTAGGTGGTGCTATTGCATCATGAGAAAGCATCCTGCTCTAGGAAGGCTTAACGTCTGCAGTGCTCCCAAAGTCACCGGAGTGGCTATGTTAACGTTTCTGGTAGGTTGTGTAACCAACTAGCATCTTTCATAAATGCTACATCTGGCATTAGCTTTCCACAGAACAATTTCTCTTAAGGTTTTCATGGTGCTTGGTATTGAGGTATTTATTGTAATTGGCAAATGTCCTTGTGGATAATGATCCTTTGCAACTTTTTTGCTTAAATTTGAATTTTGAAAAAACCAGCCTAAGTATAGTGATAAGTTTTATTGGATGTATGGGTACTTAAAGATGTGAATTCATATTCCTAAATGTAAAAACAGCTTTACTGTAATCTCAGTATAAAAATAGAAACTGTTGAAAGCTTAAGTGAGAAGAATTGAGAATTTAGTGTTAACTAATGTAGGCAGAAGACAGTGCTATGATAACCAGTACGCTGAGGTATGTGATCAGTAACTTCAGAAATTCCCAAGCCACACAGAGTACACACTTGGCACACAGCAGAGACAGTTAAGTCCCCAGCAGCTGTCAGCTCGCCCAGCATTGGCAATGAGGACTGGAAGTTTTCTGATAGTCTTTACTTTCAAGGTTTCCCATGAATTACAGTTGGGTGACACTTTTTATCCAAGGGACAAAGGCTGACACTTTGGTGTAAACACCAGGAGAATCCTTGGCTCCACAGCCGTGCCCCCAGGAGGTGACCCCATACACCACCCAGCTCTGCCCCGGGCGTTCACACATGAGGGGCCCGCCACTGTCTCCTTGGCAGCTGTCCACGCGTTGGTGTTCCTGGAGGTTTCCAGCACAGAGCATTCTCCCTGTGAAGCGACCCTTATACCGCTCTTCACAAAACCTCTTGGGAAGCAACGGGATGGCTGCTTGCTGCAGGGTTCTGGAATAGGCTCGTCCTACTCAAACCAAACAGCTCAATTAGTCATGGCGTTACAGATCACAACATTCCAACAGTTTTTAGCAGTATCGAGAAAATCGCTGTGTGTAAATATTTTTAAATGAGCAGTAAGCATAATATGTTACGTTTTCAAATGTTGACCTCCTTAACAGATATGTGTCCCATTAGTGAATATTTTGAGGAATAGTAACAAGTAATATGGCTATAAAAAGTAACCTGAAGAAAACATTGGTGCAGGCTTTAAGATTTCAATTCTGCATACTAAATGTGAAGAATGCGTTCATGTTTGTATTACATGAGCACATCCACTTAACCTAAGATCCTGAGTCTGAGTGTTAATTATAAATAATAGGTAAATGAGGTGGCAATTGCTGTCCTAAAAATATTTAATAAATCGAAGCATTCCCAAAACAGGCTCAAATTTTGCCACCTATAGGTATACTATATTCTTTTTTTTTTTTTTTTAGATTTATTTATTTTTACTGGAAAGTCAGATATGTACAGAGAGGAAGATCCTCCATTCTATGATTGACTTCCCAAGTGACTGCAACAACTGGAGCTGAGCTGATCCAAAGCCAGGAGCTTCGTCTGGGTCTCCCACACGAATGCAGGGTCCCAAGGCTTTGGGCCATCCTCACCTGCTTTCCCAGGCTACAAGCAGGGAGCTATATGGGAAGCGGGGCTGCTGGGATTAGAACCAACGCCCATATTGGATTCCAGTGCATGCAAGGCAAGGACTTTAGCCGCTACACCAACTTTCTGGACCCTCTGTTCTTTTTCAATGACAAAAACTATGCAACTGATACGTGCCCCTTGGTAACATTTTCTTGGCTATGGATTCTATCATATTCTGATAGCTTATTATTCTGTAATAACATCCAGGATAGGGAAAGTATAAAATTTCACTTGTTGTAAAAACAGGTAAAAAAAAAATGTGAACATTTGGTCAGTTCTAATAGACTTACCAGAGACGAACTGTTTTATGGATCAACAGTTTGCCAACAAGCCTTGTGCCTAGCCTGCCTTCATTTTATTGCTAAGTCATTCAGGAAGTATTCTTTTAAAGTTTTTTCTAATTATCTCAGCCTAGATCCACAATGTATTCTTTGTGTTCTACAGACATTATAAATTTTGCTGCTATGAAATAGCTTAATAAGCCTAAGTCTGACATTAGTGTAAAATAAACACTAAGATTCATTTCTACTCAATAAGCCCCAGCTGTCATTACCACTTTTCTTGATGAATACATTATACTTGCTTATCTAGGCGCAATCAGCTGTTTTCTTTTTCACTGATTTCTCACTATTATTATATAGCTATTTTTAAGCCCTGAGCACTTAACTCCAGGCAGATAACGACCTGGGGCCACTTAAGGCCCATCAGGACCAAACACTGGTCAATGAACACTAATTTATCTCCTAAGACAACTGTAATCATTGAAGAGCCTAAGGTAAACACTGTTCTAGACTGCGGCTTAAAGAGCATGAGAGGAGCGTGGACAGGAACAGGTTCTCTGCCTCCTCTGCCTCTACTTCCACCTCATCGGCTCTGCTTTCACGTGTTCTGTATTCAGAAATCTGCCAGTCAAACACCCCAGCTCTTTCCTGGCCCAGCCTACACAGAGTTTTGAAAAAGACACTACCAGGCCGAGTTTGGGGTCAGGGTCTTCAAATCTCCTTGGAGTAACCTGCCTTAGCTTCTCACAGTTCCGTCCCTTTTTGGCTAACTAAAGCTAACTGGAGAGTCATTACTCCTAAGTTCCACAGACAATGGAGTTTCCTCCATTTATACTGAAGTTCTGGTGAGGATCCACAGTACGCTCAGAATGTTACGAACACAGCTTATACACATGCATTTCACCCTTGGCACAATGTGCAAAGAATTAAGCCTTGTATGCGTTCAAGAAATTACAAGTTGCACACCTAAAGCGTGGGAAATACCAGACAAAGGAAAGTGCTCAGCTTTCTACATTTTTTTTTCCTGTGTGTATTACCTGTGTCTCCCCATCCTGTTATGTAACAGTTGGAGGCCGTTTTCTGTGGTCTCTCTCTCCGGAAAGGCAAGCAGGCTGGCAAAACATGACTGCTGAATCTGACACATTGCTCCTGTGGTCCTTGCAACCGCACTAGGGCAATGTCATAGTCACTGCTGTGTGGTTTGTACTCCCTGTGGATCACAATCTGCTGAACTCCAATTTCTTCTTCAAATTCCTCTGGCACCAGGGTATGATAGTCCCCAACCCGGACGGCATAGTTCCTGGTGCTGTTACCGTACCTGAGAGGGAGAGAGCGCTAATGAGAGGCTTGTTTTAGATACTGGAGAGTGGATTGTCAGCAAGAAGGGTTAATGAAGATGACTTTCTAAGCCTTTCTCCCACTCCATTGCAATCTCTGAGACACCACTCAGTCCTTTTCTAGAAATTCACTGTGACCACACCTCATCTTCATTACCTTGTAATCCAAGTTACCAGCTACCGGTTTTTTGAGAAGGAACAAACGTGGAGGACCAGTGGAAAATAAGGGCCAATTATTCACCAGTCATTTGAAACTATTATAATTGCCATCTTTGTTTTTGCCAAGTTTTCCTAATTGTTAGTTCTGCATAAAGCAGATAGTGAAGTAGTTAAAGTCGTCGCCTTGCATGTGCCAGGATCCCATATGGGTGCCGGTTCTAATCCCGACAGCCCTGTTTCCCATCCAGCTCCCTGCTTGTGGCCTGGGAAAGCAGGTGAGGATGGCCCAAAGCCTTGGGACCCTGCACCTGTGTGGGATATCCAGAAGAAGTTCCTGGATCCTGGCTTCGGATCGGCATAGCATCAGCCGTTGCGCTCACTTGGGGAGTGAATCATCGGATGGAAGATCTTTCTCTCTGTCTCTCCTCCTCTCTATATATGTGCCTTTCCAATAAATAAATAAATCTTTAAAAAAAAAAAAAGAAAAGAAACCAAGAACTCCATCTGAGTCTCCCACATGGGCACTTGGGCCACCTGCTAGTGCCTTCACTGGCACATTAGCTGGAAGCTAGACTGGAAAAAGAATATACATACCTATACTCACATCACTAACTTACTGAACTCAGAGATGTATCTTCGTGTCAATTTCCATATTATAACAAAGATATCAAAATAGCTTCTATTTCATTTTTTTAATCCCTATAAAGATGTAATGAGGTTATTAATGCTAGCTGTTGGTCTTCCAGAACCACCTACCATCTGGGAGTTATCATTAGGGATAAGATTTTAACTGAATTCCCAATGCATTTGTGAACTAGAACAAACATTAGTCTAGTCCACTCAAGAAACAAGGATGGGACAGGTATTTGGTCTAGTGAATGAGGTCTTACTTGCAACCCCACATCCCACTCTGAAATGAATTCTTGTTCCTCTCCTACCTGATTCCCGCTCCCTGTTAATACCCACCCTGGGAGGCAGTGTTTGATGGTTCTTGTACTTGTGTCCCTAACATAATATGAGTAACATGGATGGAGTTACAGGCACACAGCTTCAGCATGACACGGTCCTGACTGCTCTGACTGTTGCAGACATGGAAACTGAGTCACAGAACAGCAGAGCCCTCTCTCCCTTTCTTCTTCATTCTTTGCCTCTCAAATGAGTAAGTTAGAAATTTAAAAAAAAAAAAAAAGGGAGGGGGTGTTGCTGCATGATGGCTCAATGGCTAAACCCTCAACTTGTTAGTGCTGGGATCCCATTTGGCATATGGGCACCAGTTCATGATCCACTCTCTGCCTATGGTCTGGGAGAGAAGTAGAGGATGGTCCAAAGCATTGGAGCCCTGAACCCATGTGGGAGATCCAGAAGAAGCTCCTGGCTCCTGGGTTCGCGTTGGCTCAACTCCAGCTCTTACAGCATTTGGGGTGTGAACCAGCACGTAAAGGATCTTTATCTCTCCTTCTCTCCACAAATCTGATGTGCTTCTCCAATAAATATGAATATACATATATATTTAAAATGTTTATTTTTATTGGAAAGGCAGATATACAGAGAGAAGACGAGACAGAGAGGATGATCTGATTCACTCCCCAAGTGGCCACAATGGTTGGAGCTGAGCCGATCCGAAGCCAGGAGCCAGGAGACTCTCCTGGGTTTCCCACGCAGATGCAACATCCCAAGTCTTTGGGCTGTCCTCTACTGCTTTCCCAGGCCACAAGCAGGGAGCTGGATAGGAAGCAGGGCCACTGGGATTAGAACCAGTACCCATATGGGATCCTAGTATGTGTAAGACAAAGGACTTTAGCCACTAGGCTACCACGCTGGGCCAAAAAAATGAATATATATTTTTAATTTAAAAAATAATAAAACATAAAAGGCTTCCTTTTTTCCCCTGTATTTTAAAATCTTTCTGTTTGACCTCTTGTTATTTTTATAATTTTTTATTACAAGAAATAATGCTTCTAAAATACTTCAGGTTTTGGTTGACATATAATTCAGTTGTTTGCTTTACTGATTTCAATTCCCCTTCAAATAAAAATTAGATGAAATCCCGAGATGAGCTTGAGCAGTTCAGTAACATCCAATACCCTAGTTTCTCTAATAGGTTAGGAATAAAGAAAACAGAAGGAACAAATGAATTACTAGAGTTAAAAATGGAAGAATTAGTTCAGCTTGCAGGGTCGTCATCTTTGTATTCTACAAGAATGGATTCACCTCTATAAATAAACAGTATTTGACGTTGGCTTCTGCACATCTGCTATGAATAGAATCTGATACTTTCTGTTGTATGGATGACACTCAAAAAAAATAACAAAGTTGATCTTTATAAAAATGGCTCCAAGTACTTAGGGGTAAGAACTTCAAGAAAACACTGCTCTGCACCTTAGTGACATTTGGAGTGTCATCAGAAAATTGTTTTACTGTGATTGACTGATCACATTGTGTGTATCACCAACAGCCACATTCTTAAGAACTCTATTTTACCATATACCATGTTATGATAGAATATAATCCTGGGCCCGGTGCTGTGGCCTAGCAGCTAAAGTCCTCGCCCTGAACACACTGAGATCCCATATGGGCACTGGTTCTAATTCCGGAAGCTCCACTTCCCATCCAGCTCCCTGCTTCTGGGAAAGCAGTTGAGGACAGCCCAAAGCCTTGGGACCCTACACCCGCGTGAGAGACCCAGAAGAGCTCCTGGCTCCTGGCTTTGGATCGGTTCAGCTCTGACCGTTCTGGTTACTTGGGGAGCAAATCACCAGACAGAAGATCTTCTGTCTTTCCTCCTCTCTGTATATATCTGACTTTGCAATAAAAATAAATAAATAAATAAATAGAATAGAATAGAATGCTAAGCCACACTGTGTTCTTAGAAAATAGGTCCCATTATCGCTGTGACTGATCCTTTTAACTGTAAGGATCTAAAATTTTTTGATTTTCAGAACAAGGACAAGACAATTTCCAGCTGTTGTGACATTTCTAGGCAAGAAAACGAAAACAAAAAATCAGGTAAAGTTATATTTTTGAACAAATCAAATCTGAAGAATTAAAAAACGAGGGAGCCAGTGTTTTAGATACATTCACTCATTCAAAACTGTGTTATTAAAGTAAGCAATTAAATGTTGAATGTTTTTCTCAATTACACTGCTGCAGTCCTATAGATATAAGTTTATTTTATGGTACCGTGGCTCTGATTTAGGAACAAGCAGTTTATATTGTGCAAGAGTCACAGCACAACTACAACAAAAGTTATTCAATTTTCCACTTCAAACTGCTAATAGCATACAGCTTCCTGCAATCTGTATTGCATTAACACTAGGAAAAAACATGAAAAATGAGATAGAGGATCTTTAATGAATCATCAAGTACTCGAGTTACTTGACATGGTGCATTTTGAACTCTTCACAATATGCAAAAGCTATGAGAGCAGGACTGGGTTACTACAAACTGTCAACTGTCCAGGAACGTGCCATTGCACAGAACAGCGTGTAGGAAAGGAGCCTGAAGCTGTTGGACACACAATAATGGAATTTTGATCTAATCTCAAACCAGCATTCTAAAATCACTCTGCTCTGTGAATCACACCAAATTGTGACTATTTTATAAAAGCAAAAGAAACATAGCAAGTCTCCACTCCCTAATAAATAATTAAAAACTGCATAAAATAATTGACTTCCAGAAATGGCTACTCCAGAGGAGGGGTCATTCCCCTCAGTACAAAAATTAGATAACAAAGAAGGCTGAGTGAATAAGAAATACTTTGTTTGTATAGAAATTTAGTGGTTAACAAAGCATAGCAATACAAACAGCAGGCAGGAAAACTAATTTCAAAATATGAAATCCAGGTCCCTTACTGGTAGGCCTTAAATTGGGTTTAAATAACTTAGACTTCCAAGAACGGAAAGGACAGGAGCTTCTGAGAATTCAACTGCATTGTTTTTCTACTGCAGTTGCTATCTTGCTGGTTTTTGTTTCTGTTGATTAAAGGAGGGCTACTTTTAATCAGTCTCGGAGCCTAAGGAAACAAACATTGAGCTCTTTATTGTCACTAGTAAGCACAGCTTTGCTTTCTAATAAGCTTGCTACAATAAAGATGTAAGGGGCAGCATCCCGAGGCACTCCAAGCAAGGAGTCTCTGTGATCTGGCAAAGGTTACAGACCAAGTCAGATGGATCCACAACACATTTGCAAAAACAGTTTTCCTCCTACTCAACATTACAGGAATCTTGCACTGAAGCCAAAGATATCAAAATGCTGCATTTCATAATCTGCTCCTGTTCCCTTTAATCAACTGTCTTTCTGTTACACTAGGAAGAAATTCTAAATGACATATGGAAGGAGTTATCTGTTCATCAAGGTTAAAAATATCAGCATGCTCTAAAACATACCACATTCTTAAGTATATCCACTATCTGGCAACTAAGCCTCAGCTTTCATCCTGTAACAGTGGGGCATAGTAGACACGAATGAATTGATTCCTGACTTCAAGCAGTAATAGAGGAGTAAGCCAACTGAGGGAAATAGCATGTAAATAACACGTTCAATATGTGCAAAACAAAAGAAAGAAAAGTTCTTACAGAAAAATGGAAAAACCGACTTTCCGAGTCAGATCAATTTTTTCAGCAATTGCTCCACTTTAGTAATTTAAACCTTGAACATTAAAGACTATAAGATTTTAACTGAGTCAAATATAGCTAGTATTCAAAAGACAAGGACATTTAACTAAGAGGAGGATAATATAAATACATCTTATTATTTTGTGTAAACTCTAAAATTACAAACAGGCTTTTTCGGGTTCTCTGTAATTTTCTACATTATACTTTTCCAAAAGTAATCAAAATAAACTCGTTATTATTTCCCTACTTTTGCTCAAATACTCTTCACTCCCTACCTTTGAGCCCCAACATAACAATAACCAATGTTGTTTCAAGTCTTACAGCTTAAAAAAATACACTCACATACTTTGAAGGTCATTCACATAAAATGATGTTCAGTTTACGCATGTGTACAATGAGATTCCAAGTAAAATGACTGAAAAATTTCTGCAAAGTTGGACCGTAACTCTGCTCTTGGCCCAATCCCCTTTCTGTTAGCTGACTTTAGTTAACTGACTTCAACCAAGTGCTTCTGCATCTCTCCTTCGCCTTTTTTTTTTTTTCAAAATATATTTATTTTTATTGGAAAGGCAGATATAGAGAGGAGGAGAGACTGAGAGGAAGATCTTCCATCGTCTAATTCACTCCCCTAGTGTCCACAGTGGCTGGAGCTAAGCCAATCTGAAGCCAGGAACCCGCAGCTTTTTCCCAAACAGGTGCAGGGTCCCAAGGCCTTGGGCTGTCCTCAAATGCTTTCCCAGGCCACAAGCAGGGAGCTGGATGGGAAACAGGGATGCCAGGATTAGAACCAGGACCCATATGGGATCCTAGTGCATTCAAGGTGAGGACTTTAGCCACTAGGCTATCATGCTGGGCCCCTTTATTTTGCTTTCATACCTCTCTTATGACATCTTTATGAATGGTCTTCCTCAAGTGTAAACATTTAAACTTAGTGCCTCTTCCTCACATCCCTTAGTTGTTCTTATTTGCTTAGTAACTCAAACCAATTTGAGTTACTACAGAAACTCAAGACATGGCAAGCACATATGAAAGATTTTTCAGATAATTTTAGGCTCATTCACAGTTCTACTGCAACGAAAACTTTTGTCCTACCACAAAAGAGTTAGCCCATATGTCTCCAAAGTATCATCTCCTAAAACCCCTCTCTGATCATATATCAATGCTCAAAAGCCTTCGATGGTCTCCCATGGCCTAGTGAACAAAACAGACTCATAATCTTGACATGGAAGATCTATGCTGCTTAAATCAATTATACCAGGCTCATATTTGGTATTCTATGTAATAACTGTCATTTTAAAACTATGATTTATGTTTTCTTATCACCGCACTTGAAGAGTAGATACTACCTGCCACCAGGCTCCAGCTCTGCAGGAATCACTTCCCTATGCTAAGCCCTGTAACAGACTCTTTTTCTCCCACTTACACTGCATTCCGTCTTTGGAGTGTCCTAGAGTTTAACAAGACATTTTTCTTCCTCATATTATAATCTGGATTTTTAACCAGCAAAATGGCTAATATCAGGGTAAAAAATCCCATTCTTTAAGAACAGTTCCCCTGTAGTCAATAATGTGGTACAACTGTTTAAGCGAACACCTGCAACAGCAGATCCAACCCGGGCACTGGGTCCAGTCCTGGCTGTTCCACTTGACACCCAGCACCCTGACAATGCTCCTAGGAAAGCAATGGAAGATGACCCAAGGGCTTTGGCATTTGCCACCCATGCAGAAAACTTGATTGGAGTTCTAGGCTCCTGTCTTCTACCTGGCCCGGCCCTGGCTATTTCAGCCATCTGGAAAAGAGACTAGTGCATGAAACATTTATGTGTTTGTGTATTTGTATTTGTGTATCTCTCTCTGCAAATGCTTACAAATAAATAAAATTTTGTTAAGAAAAACTGTGCCCTAAACTTACTTTGATCATACCAGCAATATTAATGCCTCCTTCCTGAGGGTTCCTACAGCCACATCGTAAAGACTATGACAGGAAGACTCCTGTCTTTTTTTTTTTTAAGATTTATTTATTTTTATTGCAAAGTTAGATATACTGAGAGGAGAAGACACAGAGAGAAATATCTTCCATCTGAAGATTCACTCTCCAAGTGACTGCAATGGCCGGTGCTGCACCGATCCGAAGCCAGGAGCCAGAAGCTCTTCTGGGTCTCCCATGCGGGTGCAGGGTCCCAAGGCTTTGGGCCATCTTCTACTGCTTTCCCAGGCCACAAGCAGGGAGCTGGATGGGAAGTGGAGCTGCCGGGGCTGCCGGGGCTGCCGGGATTAGAACCGGCACCCATATGGGATCTCAGTGTGTTCAAGGTGAGGACTTCAGCCACTAGGTCATGGCGCTGAGCCCAGAATCCTGTCTTATTCTCCATTGTGTCTTTAGTGTATGGTATATGCCAGGGAATATCAAGGCCTCAATAATTATTTGTTAAACCAATAAATATATCACAGGAATGCATTAAACTCACTATTATATGAGCAAATATTGAAACTGTTATATCTCAGAAAGTTTCTATTTACAATATAGATTTAAATCATCTGCATGTATCACCTTACAACTGGAAGATTACTATTTAGATACTTACTAAAACAGATAAATGGGAGAAAAAAAGAGATCATATAAATAAAAATGTAGGACAATTTGGTATATGACATGGTTAACATAAGTCAATGAGTAATGAAGTGAATATTTGATTTAAAATGCTGGGGAAATGATCCATAAAGAAATGTATGAAATGAAATCACTTCCTCACGATACAGAATTAACATGAAAAAAGAAAAATGTAAGAGTATACCTTTGTTAAAAGGGCCCAAGTACCCAGCACAGTAGCCTAGTGGCTAAAATACAAAAAATTTACCATTTAAAAAGCAGACACAAAAGACCAAGGAGATTCAAACACTCAAAAAGAAAAAGAAAAAAACAAAAACTTACATCACTAAATTGTGCTATTTCTTAGCATTTTAAAAAAGATTTATTTATTTTTATTGCAAAGTCAAATATATAAAGAGAAGGAGAGAGAGAGGATAATCTTCCATCCCCTGATTCACTTCCCAAGTGGCTGCAATGGCCAGAACTGCACTGATCCAAAGCCAGGAGCCCAGAGCCTCTGCCAGGTCTCCCACATGGGTACAGGGTCCAAAAGCTTTGGGCCGACCTCAACTGCTTTCCCAGGCCACAAGCAGGGAGTAGGATGGGAAGCAGAGGCTGCTGGGATTACTACCGGCGCCTAAATGGAATACCAGCACATGAAAGGCAAGGACTTAAGCTACTTGGCTACCACACCAGACCCTATTTCCTAGCATTTTTAAGTAAATCATATGATATTGCTTCTGTTTCTGCAGCAATATGATTTCTCCTAAGATACATTCTTGAAGGAAGCACTGACATAGCTGCTTCTCTTCTATAACCCACCTTTCTTCACTCCAGGGTTTGCCTTACCACCAAGGCAGTAAGTCACTTCGTCAGAGCTCTGTTTGCTCCTATGCCCTTTTCTCTCCCTCTCTGTGCTGAAGAGGACATGAAAGGTTTAGGACCTGTTTGTGACATCCCAATGTTACTAAGAGGAAAAAGGCTGCGAGAACTGGCAAAAATGTCCAAGTGAGTTTGGGGACAAGAGAGATACATACCTCTTGAAACAGTGTGCTGCTGTAAGGACCCAGCAGCTGCTCAGGAGGGTAGCCCCACAAAGGAGCCTGCCATCTCCATGCGATGACTTCAGTCGGAGGGAAACTTGCCAAGGCCAGCCACCCCTGGGGAGAAAGAGAATCCAAGAGAAGCACCAGTCAACGCAATGACTTCAGTGATGCATATGATTTGCCACGGGGGGAAGACTGTAAGTACCATGCCTTCCTACGTGAAAAATGATGGCCCACGACTTAGCAGACGCCCTATGAGCAAACCTGAAGATTTGGAGGCGTTTGCATCCACCTAACTTCTCCCTGCCAAGCAACTTGAGCCTTCCTCATATTTTATAACTCGAAGTGGAATTTTTCCTCTCTTCTTGCCTAAGCACTCACAACTGTTAAATAAACAAAGTGCTGCTTTTCCAGGAATAAATTCAAGACAAAAAAAATGCATCTCAAAACAAGTCAACTCTGAAATAAACATATTTCAGATGAAATGCCTCTTTGCGGCTACAGCTTTGTCAGGTGTCCTATTAAATGTTGTTGCCTCTGCCACGCTGCTTCAACAATATGTATGTCTCAGCAATCAGAAGACGGTGCTCATATAAAATAAATGTAGGTCCATGGACAGTGAAATTGGCAATGCAATCAGTAATTCGGACAGTTAAAAGAGCAAAACATGGTCATTATATGGTAACGGAAATCCACAGTCTGTAACACCATAGGTATGTAAATGATTTTGTCATGTGGAAGCATCTTTAAGAACATTTTACCTTAAAGAATTTTTCCCACCAATGATCCTCTTTTGCCGGCGGTGCAACAATCTTATACCACAAACCGATGAGACAGACTCTGAAGCACAAAAAGACCATGAATGGAACCACTATTTTGCTCTGGAGGAATAAAAAGATGACTTACAGGCTCCTTCTAAGTCTCCTCTACGTTTAAGTTCCTACTCACTCAAAATGCTAGGATAAATTTTCCTATACTAGAAATAAGCTTTCCCATGTCACCAAACGACAATGATTTGCAAACAGTAGAGAAGTCTTATGAGATTTCTGGTCACTCACTCAGCTCTGAGGAGCTTCACTGTTGGTTGAGTGGTTTCACATTATTCACTACACTAGACACCTACATCTCCTGGTGCCGTCCAGAGAGACTGTGTTGGAGTTCAGGATTACTAAATAAAACAAGAGAAGTGCATAGGCAATATTGGTCTAAATTATTACATTTTTAGATTTATTTATTTTTGTTGAAAAGGCAGATAGAGAGGAAAGAGAGAGAAAAGGTCTTCCATCTTCTGATTTGTTCCCCAAGTGGCCACAATGGCTGGAGTCAAACTGATCCAAAGCCACGAACCAGGAGATTCTTTGGGGGTCTCCCACACGGGTGCAGGATCCCAAGGCTTTCCCAGGCCATAAGCAGGGAGCTGGAAGGGAAGTGGAGCATCCAGGATATGAACTGGCATCCATATGGGATACAGACACATACAAGGCAAGGACCTTAGCCACTAGGCTACCATGCTTGGCCCTTAAATTATTTTTAAAAGTATAATTCAAAGCACGTGCCTAGGATTAAATTCTGACCTAAATTTACAAGTGCTCTTACAGTGTATTAACATACAGAAAGGGATTGCTAAGCCAATTTATGTGGCGAATGTATTTGAAGGTAAATAGTCCAAATTCCCAAGACAACTGCATTCTTCCACAATGTAAGAGAGGGGTTGAATTAGAAAAGAAGGAGAAAGAGGCATGCAAAACAAGGAGTGACTCTAAAGAAGGTAGAAGGTATGACTCATTTTTCAAAGAGTTTTTGAGAACAGAGGATTCAATGAGGTAACGTTTTTCTTTGGTCAGAACAGAAGTAGGTATAGATTTGTACTACCTTTCCATTTTTTAGAGAAAGATGGAAATTGTGCCAAAAACACAAACACTTAATCAGCACTAATGGTGTGCCGTAACAGGCACAAGGGAGAGCAACATGGAAACAGCTGTAGTTCTTTCTAGATAGAGAAAGAGGTTCAACTATAGGTACCAAAAAGATTCAATTGGCAAATGATCTCAGAAGAATGCCATCAAGCTTTAACCTTCATCTTTTATGATATTATTCCTTTAGATGACACTGCAAATTATAAGATATTAAAAAAATACACAATAACATTCCAAGTCAAAGTATGTGATGCCAAGAAAAAGAATGATGTAATACTGAACAAGCAAAACCTAAAATTGATATCACTTTACAGCAAAGAACTAAAATGCAAAAAAGGACAATCTATTTAAAGCCATACAGTGTTCAAAAAGTAAAAAGCAAAATGAATTTCATTTAATAAAGTGTCCCATCTGATAACCAATGGCTTGAGTATGACTCATCTTACAGAAGTCACCAGATCCTCAATGTCAACATAAAATCAACTAGTTAATAAGTTAGAATCTTTAATGCAGCTAGTCGGAAATGCAGTTTTTGCATAATGTATGATAGCATTGCTAAAACCATGCAAAAATATCAAAGTAAAGACTGCTAAACATCTGTGAAGCGATAAAGAGAGACGCATAAAAAACAAACAAAATCTGTTTTTTATTTCATTTTAAAAATAGTTATCTTAATTTTTCATTTGAAAGGCAGAGTTACACAGAGAAGAAACAGAGGTCAAGGTCTCCATCTGCTGGTACACTCCTCAAATGACTGCAACACCTGGAACTGAGCCAATCCCAAGCCAGAAGACAGGTGCTTCTCCTTGGTCTCCTCTGTGGGTTCATGGGCCCAAGGACTTGAACCATCCTCCACTGCTTTCCTAGGCCATACGTAGGGGGCTGAATCAGAGGTGGAGCAGCCAGGATATGAACCAGCATCTATATGGGATACTGGCAGCACAAGCAAAGGCTTTGCCTACTGCCTCATGATGGCAGTCCTTGCTATCTCATATTTTAAAGTTGGTTTACACTAAAAATTAGGAAAACATGCTACAGCTATTGGGTCTATGATTTTCAACGGCTTAAGGAAACCTCCATAATTGAAATAATCAGTTCAAATCTTAATGAGAATCAAATAAATTAGTTGTAATCAGCACATGTATTTGGGGGAAAAGTGTTTATCTTCTCTATTTCTCGCTCTTTGTTCTCTCTCTGCTCTCTCTGTTACACATACACTGAACAGTACATAAAACACAGGGTCCAATGCAATGGCTCAACTGACTAACTGTTCCCTTAAAATGCTAGGATCCCCTATGGGTGCATGTCCGTGGCTTGGCTGTTCCACTTCCATCCAGCTTCCTGCTTGTGACCTGGGAAAGCAGTCAGGGACGGCCCAAAGCCTTGCGACCCTGCAACCACATGGGAGACTCGGAGGAGGCTCCTGACTCCTGGCTTTGGGTCACTTCAACTCCAGCCATTGCGACCAATTGTGGAGCGAACCATCAGTTGGAAGATCTTCTCTGTCTCTCCTTCTCCTGTAAATCCACCTTTCCTATAAAAATAAGTAAAAACATTTTTAAAAAGAACATAAAGCATAAAGTTTTATAAGTATTCTGTCCACATACAAAAGCCTCTCAGGCAATGAAGAATCACATTAACAATAACTACTTCATTCACGATTCTGTTTTAGCAGTTAACTGTTAGTAAAACATAATGCTTAAATATAAACACACCTGATTTTAAGAAAATTCAATATATTAAACTATGAATTTTTAATGCAGATAGTTCTTTTAGTTGATTGTTATTTTCATAAAATGTATGAGCACATTTCTCCAAAATAGCTAATTCTAACTTGCATTCACTCATTTGAAGGTGTATTTGCTTCATAAAAATGAAATATACCCAGAGCTTTCAAAAACCATATTTAAGAATAAAATATCTATTTTTGGCACTATATTAAAAGATTATCTTAAATTTCTAAATTTCTGAGAATAAAATGGATAAGAAATAAATTTTGTGTTTTAACTCCATTTTTAAATAATCCCAGTTATTTATAGCTTTAGTAAGCTTGGAGAAATGGGAACACTTACACACTATTGGTACAAATGTCAACCATGGCAACCAGTATGGAAGACAGCATAGTTATTATAAAACTAGAAGTAGACTTGACATATGATCCAGAAATCTCACTGCTGGGTATAACAAAAGACATGAACACATTGTATCAAAGAGACACCTGTACCGCCCTGCTTATAACAGTAGTGTTCACAGTCAAACAAGGCATCTATCATTAGATAAAGAAAAGGAGATTTACACAACGCAATATTATTCATCTATTTGAAGGAATGAAATCCTACCAGTTGTGTCAAAATGGATGCCATTATAGAATATCATGTTGAGTGAGATAAGCCAGATACAGAGAAACAAATGCTGCCTATTTTCCCTTACATATGATAGTTAAAAAAAAAAGAAGTATCGCTGTAAACATAGCTTTATAAAACTTTGATTTATGCCTTTGTCAAACCAATATTTAAGAATATTGTGGGCGGGCCCGGTGAAATCGCCTAGCAGGTAAGTCCTCGCCTTGCATATGCTGGGATCCCATATGGGTACCAGGTCTAATCCTGGCAGCTCCACTTCCCATCCAGCCCCTGCTTGTGGCCTGGAAAAACAGTCAAGGAAGGCCCAAAGCTTTGGGACCATGCACCTGTGTGGGAGACCTAGAAGATGCTCCTGGCTTCATATTGGCTCAGCTTCGGTCATTATGGCCACTTGGGGAGTTAATCAGGGGATGCAATATCTTCCTCTGTCTTTCCTCCTCCTCTTTCTGTATATCTGAGTTTCCAACAAAAATAAATAAATCTTAAAAAAAAAAGAATATTATGAGCCTGGTGCAGTAGGCTAGTGGCTGAAGTCCACCTTGTATGTATCAAGGTCCTGGCTGCTCCACTTTCCTTCCAGCTCCGTGCTTGTAGTTTAGGAAAACAGTTGAGGATGGCCATTTGCCTTGGGAACCTGCACCCATGTAAGAGACCAGGAATAAGCTCCTGTCTCTTGGCTTCGGTTTGGCTCAGCTCCAGCCATTGTGGCTACTTGGGGAGTGAACCAAAGGATGGAAGACCTTTCTCTCTGTCTCTCCTTCTCTCTGTATATCTGACTTCCTAATAAATAAATAAATCTTTAAAAAATAATAATACTGTACTACTATAGTTTCAATGTTCTGTGATTATTTTAAAACGTACTGAATAAAGACCAAAAGGCTTATAGAAAACAGAATTAAAATATATTCCTTTTGGTGAAAAGACTATAGAAGTGCATTTGCATTTCTGATTCATCTCAATATTTTAATTTGCTTCTGAAATTTCAAGGGTATCAAGAAATGTGATTGTTTTATTATGTAGAAAGAAGACACGATGAAGAACTGCCTGAGAAAGTAAAAAAGAGGAGTACCAGTGTGGGTGTTCAGTGCAGAAGTTAAGATGCTACTGTACTGGGTTCATCCTCCAGTGCTGCACCAAGTCCAGTTTCCTGCAAATGTCCATTCTGGGAGGCAGCAGGTGATGGCTCACGGACTTGCATCATTAACACCCTTGGGAAAGACCGGACTGAGTTTCTGGCTCCTGGTTTTAGCCTGGTCCAGCCCCATTCTGCTGTGGGGATTTGCACGGGAAAAGATCTCTCCCCTGTTTCTCTTTTCCCACCTCTCTGCCTTTCTGATAATTGTTTTTAGGGGATTTATAAAGGTTTTGATTTTTTTTTCTAATTTGGGAGAATAACCCCAGAAGCTAGAGGTTTTGTATATCCAGTTACCCCTGATTCTTAATCTCCCTTTAAGCCCCACCTAGGCAAAATTCCCAAGAGCGACTGGCAGATAGTAACACAAAGAACAAGGGACTATAAGCAGTCTGTTGCATGGGATTTGTGTTACCGAAGTACAATTTGTAGTAATGAATGGAATTAATCATCTCTGAATTATGTAGGGCCCTAGAAAGTCACTTACCTATATTACTGTTACTTGATGCTTTCTTGCTAAAATAATCACAAATAACTCCCGCATCTTCACTGTGGCGGCAATTATGTTTTCCAATATCCTGTTTGATACAGTCAGCAAGTGACCTCTCATTTCCTGTGCACTTCACATTATCCACGTGTATGGGTCCTTTTCCTTCCCCAAAATAAGCCATAGTCCTGGCTCTTGCAGGCCCCCTGGAAACAGAGCACTCTTAAGGATGGGCAGATACATCAATCACAACAGACTCACAAATTACTTTCTACTTTAACTTTTTTAAAGATTTACTTACTGTTATTGCAAAGTCAGACAGACAGAGAGGAGGAGAGACAAAAAGGAAGATCTTCCATCTGTTGATTCACTCCCCAAGCGGACACAACAGCTGGAGCTGAGCCAATCTGAAGCCAGGAGACTGGAGCTCCCAAGTGGGTGCAGGGTCCCGAGGCTTTGGGTCATTCTTGACCACTTTCCCAGGCCACAAGCAGGAAGCTGGATGGGAAGTGTGGCTGCCAGGATTAGAACCAGTGCCCATATGGGATCCTGGTGTGGGCCAGGGGAGGACTCCAGCCACTAGACTATCGTACCAGCCCCTCTGCTTTAACTTTTACACTCGCATTTCCTGGAAACAGTTTACTTCATGATTGCCCCCATTCTATCCCTCACACTGTCACATCCCACAGTGACTTTATTGCGGCAATCGCCCAAAATTTAGCCTCTGCTAAGAAAAATCACATTTAATAAGATGCACAAAAAAATATCACGTGGTCTTACACACTAGTTTCAAAATGGAAAACAAATTACTTCAAAACCCCATGCCCTTTGAGAACAATACTACATTAAAATTAACATAATATTGCCAAGAAAATTCTGAGATTAAATAATTACCTAAGAAGCTAAAATTTAATTATCTTCCTCCTTTAAAAGCAAAATGTACAGGAGCCAGTATTGTAACACAGCAAGTAAAGCAGCTGCCTGAAACAAGAGTATCCTGGTTGGGCACTGGTTCAAGTCGGGGCTGCTCCACTTCTGCTCCAACCTCCTGCTAATGCACCTGGGAAAGTAGTGGAAGATGGCCCAAGTACCTGAGCCACTGCAAACCACGTGGGAAACCCAAGCAAAGCTCCTGGCTCCTGGTTTTGCCTGGGCTACCTTTGCCCATTGCAGCCATTTGGATAGAAGCCAGAAAATGCAAAGTCTCTTTCTCTCTCTCTCCCCTTTTTATTTGACTTCGATTTTCAAAATAACTAACTAAATAAATCGCTACATATTTTTAAAGGCAAAAAGTACAATTTTTAATAAGAAAGAAAAAATCAAGAATCACAAATAGAACCCAGGGTTACATGTGGTATATTGCATTTTTTGTTGTTGTTGTTAAGTAACACATTATCTTTCCAAAAAATAAAGAAATGGAACAAGTTTAATGAAATATTTTGAACTAATACCCTATTAAAAATTCAATTCCTGGGGCTGGTATTGAGACATAGTGAGTAAAGCCACCACCTGCAGTAGCACTGGCATCCCAGTAGGCCACAGGCTCAAGTCTCAACTGCCCTACTTCCAGTCCAGCTCCCTGCTAACATGCCTGGGAAAGCAGTAGAAAATGTCCCAAGTCGTTCTGCATCTGTCACTCACTGGAAGACCCAGATGAAGTAAGTACTTGCGTTCCAGCTATAGTCTAGCTCAGCGCTGACTATTGAAGGAGAGAAACAGCAGAGAAAAGAACATTCAATTTAGGATAAATTGAAGATATGATTATGCAAGGCTTACCTTGGAGTCATAGGAAACCAGTTTTTCATACCTTGTTAGGGAAAAATGTAATAAACAAAACATGCAAGAGACAGGGTCAGCATTATGATGAAGCAGGCTAAGCTGTCAGCTATAATGTCAGAATTCCAGAAGTGGTTCTAAGTCCCAGCTGCTTCCAATCCAGTTCCCTGCTAGTATACTTGTAAAAGCTATGAAAAAATGGCTGCATTACTGGGTCCCTGAACCCCAGGGTGGCAGCCGGGCCCAGCCTCAGTCATTATGGCCATGTGGGGAGTAAACAGCAGATGACAGATACATCTGTTTCTCCATTACTCTACCTTTCAAATGAATAAATCACAGACAAATTCAACAGAAATTAAATTAATATTCCACTTTACCAAAGGAAAGTGAAGATAAATTCAAATGATGGTTGCATTTCTTACAATAGCGCACACACACACACACGCACACACACACACACACACACACTCTCTCTCTCTCTCACAATCTTCAGGAAATCATCTGGAAACTAAGAAAAAGAAGTAAATATAATTTGATAGAAAAGTGTCAGTGGACAATAAACAACTGAAAACATGCTGAATCACATAAGTAACTGAGGATAAGACGATGGAACACTAGCCACCCACCACATGGGCATAAATGGAAAACTGACAATTATCGGATATTCAGGGCATAAATCAGGGTAGCCACTTGGGAAGGCAATCACAAATCCCTTGACAAAGTTGAATGCAAATGCCCTACAAGCTACATATTCTGCTTCTAATCACATTCATATTCCCTCAAAAATCCTGTGCACCTGTACCAGGAGAAAGGCATAAAAATAAAAAGGTTTATGAAAGTCCAATTTTCAATAGCAAAATTAGAAATATTACTATGGCTGAAATGTTCATGCCAAAGCTCATGCTGCAACTTAATTCCCACTGTACAATATTAAATAAAGAAACTTTTAAGAAGTGCCAGGTGGTAGGCAGCCTGTACTGAATGCATCAATGTATTCATCGGTTAACAAATTAATGGGTTAACAGACCATCTCAAAGATGGGCTCCATGTCCTTGATGCCTCCTTTAGCCATGTGATGCTGTACACTGTCTTTAAGCTGCACAATCCCATCAGCAAGTGGGCCTTCACCAAATCAAATCTCTCTGTCTCCCAGGTTCCAATCAGCTTCAACCTTTCACATTCAGCTTTCTGGGCTACTCAGCAATAGCAATAAGAAATAGATTTAGACTGATGTAAATGACCCAGCTCAAAAGGATAAGTTAATGTAAGCTGGATATTTATGTGACAGGACTATAAGGCAAAATGAATTCGAATGAGCTACAGCAACTTGCATCAGAGCTGAACCTGAAGAATCATAATGAAGAAAAAAAAGCTGTCAAGGAACTAAGATGACCTGAAGGATAGCTGCCAACTTACAAATACAAATTTGCCAAACTAAATTTATGATCTGATATAAAATTATGCAAAATGCAACAGAGCTTATCTCTAGGTGATGGTATAGACAGGGTAGGGCTGGCACAAAAAAGACATTAAAGGTATAGAAAATCTATAGGGAAAATCTGTAGGGCTCTAAAGACAGTACAGCACAAGTCTGGGGATGCTATTCAGGAGCTGTAGCCTGCACAGCTGACACAGCCAAAAGGGATATGATATACTTGTTTCACTGTCACTCTTAGGAACAGGGGTATTTGGGTTTGGCACGAAGTCTCAATTAGCTAATCCTCTATTTTCAAGTGATGCGATTCCATGTGGATGCCAGCTAAAGTCCTGGCTGCTCCACTTCCCAGCCTGGGAAAGCAGTGGAAGATGGCCAAAATCACTGGGACCCTGCAATCCCATGATAGACCCAAAAGAAGCTGCTGGCTTCTGGCTTTGGATTGGCTAAGCGCCAGTCATTGTGCCCACCTGGGGAGTGAACCAGCAACAGAAGATCTTTTTCTCTGTTTTTCCCTCTCTCTGTAAACCTGTCTTTCCAGGAAAAATAAATAAATCTGAAAACAAACAAACAAACAAAAACAGATACTTCAGCCTGGTGTAATCATTCAATTAGCTCATCCTCCCCCTTACCAGGATCCCACGTGGGTGCTTGTTCTAGTCCTGGCTGCTCCATTTCCTATCCAGCACCCAACTTCTGAGCTGGGAAATGAGTGGAGGATGGACCAATGTCTTCAGACCCTGCATCCGTGTGGGAGACCTGGAAAAAGCTTCTGACTCCTGGCTTCTGATTGTCTGTCCTTCCACTCTAAAAATCTGCCTTTCCAATAAAAACAATACAAAAAGTTACAGGTACCATATATAGTCTTACATATATGTATATTTCCCAGTTAAATAATAAAATGAGGGAAAATTCTGATCTTAAAAAGCTTTTTAAAAATTTAAGTCAAAATCATAATTCTAGGAAAGATGAGTTTTACAAATAGCCTAATTATGCTTTAATTAATTATAAAATAAATCTACAATATCTTTCACCAGAGAAAAATACTTTAATATTATTCCAGGACCTCTAGGTGATGATAACTTTTTTTCTTTTAAGATTTATTTATTTTTATTAGGTACACAGAGAGGAGGATAGACAAAGAGGAAGATCTTCCATCAGTTGATTCACTCCCTAAGTGGCCATAATGGCCAGAGTTGCACTGATCTAAAGTCAGGAGCCCGGAGTCTTTTCCAGGTCTCCCACATGGGTGCAGGATCCCAAGGCTTTGGGCCATGCTCGACTGTTTTCCCAGGTCACAAGCAGGGAGCTGAATGTGAAGCGGGACTCCCAGGACACAAACCAGTACCCAGGCAAGGACTTTAGATAGTAGGCTACCACACTGGCCCCAGTGATGATATTTTTGCAAATAACCACTAAACACACCATAACATTTTTGTGATCAGAATGACTTGGTAATTAGGAAAGAATGTAGTGTTGTAGTTTTTAGTTTAGTCATCACACAAGAGCAACTGATCGTAAAATAATTCTACATACTGGCTTTAAGTGATTTGGGCTCAGTAAGTTAAGCTCCTGCTTTCAACACCAATGTTGTCCCTAACACAATGCGGATTGCAACCCAAAGTTTTCTTTTTTCTTAGCTCCCTGCGAATGCACCTAAGAAGGCAGTGGAGAATGGTACAAGTGTATGAGCCCCTGCCACCAATTGAGAGACCAGGATGATGCTCTAGACCCCTGGATCCAGTCAGGTTAAGCTCCGGCTGTTGCATCCATTTGAGTAGAGAGCCATTGGTAGCAGATCTCTGTCTCTCCCACCTCTGATACTCTTCCTTTCAGTTAGGTAAATGAAACTGAATCTTTGAAATAAAACCCAGGAGGTTACACAAAGAACAGATAACAAGGAACAATAAATAGTTTAAAGTACATGGTAGATAGAACCAGGTACAGAAAACAGAAATACACTTAATAAATAAATCAAAAGGATGATTTCTTAGCAACCAACCAACTATTTCAAATATATATCAACAAACAGATGTTTTAACTAATAATGCATGATCAAAGGCATTTTCATTAATATAATTATTATAATGTATAATATAATATATAATATGCATTACATTATATAATATATATTACTATCTTCTAATATATATAATATATGTTACTATTATCTATATTATTAATATATCTTCTGTAAGCTAAGTCCTTTGATGACTCACTTCTTTCCCTTAGCATGATGCCCACAGTGCATGCATATATAATAATATATACATTATTATAATATATATATTAGATGTTGGGAAGGAAGCATCCAAAACAGCCTCTTAATCACTGGCTCAAATGCATGACCACACACTTTTTAAAAACATAATTATATTAAGATTCTCCAGAGACAGGAAATCTTAAATGCAATTTTTTAGAGAGAAAGAAACAATTTTTAACCCAAAATGGATGATTTTTGATTAAGCATTTTTAAATTTGATAGCAGGGAAGCATGAATCATTACACTTATATTGTATATAACTTAAAAAGTGGCAAAGTGATATAACTAATGCTTAAGTTATTGATTTATCTCTACTTGAAAGACAGAACAAAAGACAGTGGGAGAGAGAGAAAGATCTTCCAATTGCTGCTTTCCCCTTTCAAATGCCAGCTGAGCCAGGAGCCAGGAACTCTACCCAGATCTCCCAAGTAGATGGTCCAAGCACTTGAGTCATCATACACTACATCATCATTAGGAAGGTGGACAGGGAGCAAAACAGCAGAGACTTGACTGGTGCTCCAATATGGAATATGGACATCCTGATGGGCTGAATCCAATGTCCTCCAATGCATTTTTCCCTGTTTTATTTTTAAATGCATATGCAAATGTGCCAGACAATAAATCATTTCCAGTTGTTGAAATATAAGGTAGAAATGATGTATATCTAATTTTAAATCTTTTAGAAAACAAGAGGCAATCTATTTTAAAATTTCTTTCAAGGCATATGCTGTAATAAATATGTAGTCGAAGAACAATGCCAAATTGAATCATAGGCTGACAGAGTCACACAGACAGTAGAATTTCTAGCACAGCTATTTATTCTCAATACATTTGCTACCATGCCTCTAAAAACAACATGCTCACATGATAGACTTTGCCAGACATCATGTAATACTTCATTAAAAAGATGCCTTCTGCATTTTTGCTCACCGTAAACAAACCTACATTAGTTAGCACTCATGTTTCCTGCTTTTATTACCTCATTTCTTCTTTTCCCATTATGAAAATGTTTTCTCATACTATGACTAATCCTCACACAGGTTTAGCTGACTTTGGAACAGGATCTCTGAGCTACTTATTAATAAGATCATGCCTTTTAACAGTTTTCTGGGTTCCCTTCTACAAATAACTACATTATTAAAGATTTTTTCCTGATTCAAAATAAACATGGGAAAAAGTTCCCTTGTTCTATTCACATTCTGTTTCAAATTATGTATTTTTTTGTCTTATCTCACATTCCATTTCCCCTAAGAGAGCATGACAAAAACATTTAAATACATTTATACTGATCAGATAGCTAAATGAGTCTTTTGAATACTATTGGATAAGAAATTGTAGTTTACCCAGATACTGAATGGATTATTCATTTTAGACTATATTAAATTACAACATTACTTATTAAAAGATTTTATTTAAAAGCAATTATAAAGCAGAACTCCCAGATGCTTTTTAAAATAATATTACTTACTGTAATGGCAAAGAAACAGAAAGAAATAGTGAGACACAAAAAAATCTTTCATCTGCTGTCTCATACCCCAAATAGCCACAAGGAACCAAGCTTCTCTGGGTCTCCTATGTGGGTAGCAGGGACTTGGGCCATCTGCCACTGTTGTCCCAGGTACATGAGAAGGAAGCTGGAATGGGCGTGGAACAACTGGACCAGGTACTGGCTCCCACACGGGACGCAGGTGCTACAGTAAGTGACTTAACCCACTGTATCAGGGCACCAGCTGAAGTTTTTCTTCCTAGTTTTTACGGAAATATCATTGAAAGTCACTGTAAATTTCGTTCACCTAATCTATATTGTGTTTCCCATCTAAAGTAAAACTTTTTAAAGGTTTATTGAGGCATAATTGATAGAAAAAATCTTTATACAATGGACATAAGCTTCCTTCTGTGATACCATCACCAGAACCAAGGTACTTAACATTTCTATCATCTCTGAAAAAATCCTCCTTCTTCTGTAAGCCAAGTCCTTAGATGACCCACTTCTTTCCCTTAGCATGATGCCCGCAGTGCATGCCCATGTCACGACATATGACAAGTCTTCCCTACTTTTTTGAGGGCTGAATCTCATTTCTGCATGTGCATGTTCCTTATTCATTCATCTATAAACATAGATTATTTCGGTAAGTTGACTTGTGTATAATGCTTAAAACATGGGAATTCAGGCATTTTTACCAAGATGAATGAAAACCCACTATAATTTCAACTGTAGAATCCATTACAAGGTTACAGTGTTTAGAATGACAGCTTAACCAGTGGTTAAGTAGCCCACTCTTCATGCTGGAGTACGTGGATTCAATTCCCAGCTGTGGGTCCTCACTGCACCTTCCTGTAGACCACGGGGAGCAGTGGAGTGTGCACCAACAGAGGGGAGCTTTCTTCCTGACAAATTGATTAATTAATTTTGGGAAAAGGCTAAATTATTGGAGAAAAAAAAAGTTAACACCATGTGCTGAGGGAGAAAGCATTATGCAAAGTCAAAATCATCCGACTACTTCATGATTATACAAAAAGCTACATTTTTCTTTGACAATGCACATGTGGGAAGGTGGAAAAATTTGAATAAACTCTATTGCTTTGTAATTCAGAATCAAATCTGCTTGCTGACAGTATTTTTAAATCTTAGAACCTGATTTTAGCTAAGAAAGAACTAATTTATGGCAAGAGTAAAAAAAATATTCAGTAAATACCCCATCCCCTCGCCACACACACACACACAAAACCTAAGTGTTCTTTACTTGTAGCCAAGCTGTCGACAGATCACAGTGGCATCCTTATCAGTCCATCCGTCATCACAAATTGTTCCCCACTGGCCACCGATGAAAACCTCCACTCGCCCTTCTTTCTTATTTTCTCCATCCATCAGTCTGATAGGAAAACCTGTCACAATTCAAAAAGGTTAGGAAGTCAAAATAAGCAACCAAATACCAAAATATGAGAGACTTTGTAAAATACAAATGAGTTGAGCAATCCAGAGAGAGAGAGAAAAGACAGGAGATATCTGTAGGACTTTTAGATACTGTGTAACAAGTTTTGAACTCTTGAAGTCAGAGTGGTCACCTTGCCACAGTCTGTAAGCCCCAGTAACTAGAACTGTGCCTGGCATATCATGGATTTTTAGTCCATTTAAAAAAAAACACAACACTTCATTTATTTTGAAAGGCACAGTTACAGAGAGAGAGCAAGAGAAGCTTAACCTTTTACACCACAATGATGGACCCTGAGTTTTCAATTCTTAAGGGCAAATTAGACAGCAAGAGCTATTCTATCCACACCATCTTGCCATTTAAGTTATTTTTGCTAGGACAGTAATAATAATATCTAGTCTGTTTTATTTGTAAAATCTTAAATAAATAAAGATTCAGGAAAACTAAATAATCCTATGGGTATAAAGTATCTCTAATTATGTATCTCACATTGATTTCCAGTAGTTGTTCTTGTAACACTGATACATTATTTTTCAAAATAGCTCTTTTCTAGAAAAAAAAAGATAACAATCTAATGTAAATGAAAATAAAACCTAGGTTTGTATGGTAAAAGTGAGTAAGAGACAACTTCACTATGATAAAAATCTCTGCTAAGACTTAATGCTACAAATTAATATAATATTAATATAAGAAACAACATGTATTAGCATCCCAGATTTTTCCCCCAACTCCCCTAGGGAATAACTACATTCTTATGAAGCTTAATTTTACTTGTAGTATTACTTTTAACCATTTCACCCCCACATAGCCAAATATATGAAGTGTCTGCTGAGCATAACTAATTTTGAAGAGTTTTTATTCACAGAAGTTATCCTTCAAATAACTGAAAATAACAATAGCTCAACAGCTTATTGCAATGCCAAAGAACTTAAACATCTCCATTATTTATTAAATGCTATTGTTTGTAACATTCCTGTGCTATTTTGCTAAACTTCTCTTTTAAATACACAATTTCTTCTACTTGGTGAGAAAGCATGATGTACTTTAATGAATAAATGGTACTATAATTCTACCCCAAAAGGATATTTGACTCAGACATAATGTTCTTCAGACAAATTACTTAGTTAATAGACCTGAAATTAGAACCAAGATTCATAATAATGATGACCACATATTTTATTAATAATTATCATCTACAGCTTTTTAAATTTTTAAGAAGGACATCTAAAATTCCAGAATCAGGAAGATTTTCTTGGAAACTAAAATGACTAGCTGTCTTAGCCCTATGACGTATTTAACAATCCAAGCCTTCAAAAAACTTAGCCAGTATTTTGGCAAACCAGGGTAGGGGGCGGGCCTGGTGGGGGTTATTGTGGGTCGCTGCAACTAGGCTGCAGCTCCCACTGGTTTATGTGAGGGCCAAGTATGTGCTGGGCAGAAACAGGCTGGACTGCAACACCCATTGGTTCCAGTGGAAGTCGGGAGTGAAAACAGAACCAACCCAGCAATTGCAACCACCAGCTGATTGGAGCGATGGACGGTGCCAGGCCCTGTACTTGTTAGCACATACAAGAAGTTTCTTTGGAGATCTTCCTAATCTAAATGCTAGACTCAGAACCCTAACGAAGAAAAGAGAGAAGACAGAACAGGTCAACCAACCATCTCAGCTATGACGGGCTATGTCAATCAGTGGATTTTTCAAAGACCTCATAGTGCTTGGAGTGGCAAGATTGACAGCAATTCATAACTGTTGCAATATCAAAACCACTTGAGCAAGAACCTCAGAGCATACCCTACATCCGGGACCTGGGGAGGGTGGGAAATTGGGTGGGCCTTCTCCCTTAATAACCCCCTTTAAACATGAAGGTAACAATATGGAAAACATACTAGTATTATCCACTTTCCTGTAACCCTTGAACCTTCTTACCCTAATTAACTATGTAAAGAATGTCAAAATAAAATCTTATTAAGAATGTCAAAAAAAATTATATCTCTGAACTACAAAAAAAAAAAAAACCCAAACAAACAAAAAAAAAAAAAACAAAAAAAACTTAGCCAGTATTTCATCATGTCCTGATGGGGCATGACTACATGACCACCCCACAATCGAAACCAAGGTTATCTGGGGCCAAAAGAACCCATTTCTAGCAAACAGAGGCTAGAAACCATTTATCATGTAATCCTGGGATACCATCTTCTTTAGGAAGATAACAGGAAAAAGGAGTATTTTTGTAAAGCATGCAAAATTATTAACAGTAAAGAATTCAACAGCTTTTCTTAGTTTGTAAAGTTAAGATTTCAGCTTTATGGTCTGAAAGCAGCAGAATGTAAGAGGGGATGATTCAGTCCTGAGGTTAAAAAGTAAAGGTCATGTATCTATTTACACACACACACAAAGGCATGCACAAAAATAATCCAGCTCTGATAGTATTCTGGCAAGTCTTCTGAACAATCCCCTTTAATATTTTTCATTCATACTTCTTATTCTATCCTCCTCCTTGTCAGACCTGAAGAATCTGGAAAGTATGTTAGGTTGCTGTTTGCTTACAAGAGAATCTATATGTATTTAAAGACAGCTGGAGAGCTGGTTATTTATCAAACTACAAATCTGAAAAAACTTGTAAATAGAGAATCACAACTGGGTTTCTAGAACAATGGCATGTCTTAGAAAACTCCAATGATTCAGAGGTTCCTGAGAAACCAGGAAAAGCAAAGAATGGGTAGATGGCTACCAATGATGAACTAAGAAGAAATAAATCATGAGACAAAAGAGGAAGAGGAATATTCTTTTTCTTTCTTTAAAAATCTTTTTTCAAATAGCTGCTTTATACTCAAGGTAAATGAAGGTCAGACTAGGTGCTACAGAGTAGGAAGTAGATCATGTAGCTTCTTTCCTCTTTCAGATATATGTGATTATAAATATTTTTAGAGGGAGTTAGGTTTCCACGCAAAGAAAAACAGCTTCAGGGACATAAATTTTATAATGTTGGTAGAAAGACTCAAAGTTATAAGAATGACTGAAAGTCCATCTTTGGTCTGAATGCAGAGAAGCATACTGCACTATGTCTCCACATCTGGGCATGTCAGTCTCTGCCACACCTCTGTTACACATCCCCTTAAATACAGAGCTAGAAAACACAGTCCTCAACATAGAGAAAAACAGAAAATGTACATTAACATGAAGTTAAACAACATGCTACAAAATGACCAACGTGTCACTGAAGTGATGAAAAAGAAAATGGAAAATCTTGAAGAAAACGATGCTTCTGCATGGCACTGAAGAAATCAAAAGAAAAAACAACAAAAAAAGAATGACTAAAAATTCAAGAAATATGGGAAACCAAAACACCAAGCATGAGAAACACTTCACACTCAGAGCCAGCGGCTGGAGGTACAGGATACTGCATTATGCAACCCTAGCGCTGTGACCGGTCCTCACCCAGGGCCAGTCTGTGTCCATCGCTGCCAGGGTAGCAGGCGATAGCCACATCTTCCCGGTGGCCGCAGTCGTGTCTCCCCCACTGCCTCCTGGAGCACTGAAGCAGGCTGCTTTCCTTTCCCGAGCAGCTCACATCGTCCAACCATATGGGCCCCGCACTTACTTCCAAATGGTTTGCAGAAACTTGTTTGCCGTATCTGTGATGACAAAATAAACTGTTACCATGAACCACACAGCAGAGGACTCCCTAACTGTCATGACTTCAGAGGCTAAGTATTTATTTGTTCTTTTTCCTGCTTTGCCAATATAGAGCTGTATGTGCTCCGGTCACGGGTTTTGATCACCTAAACAACTTATGGCTGCTTGAGTAAGTAATGAGTTATAATCCCATTTTCACATTCAGTCTTGTGTTTTGTGTTCAACTTAACCTACCAATCAGAGAGAATGTAGGCAAAAAGATATCTCAAACTCCTGACCATAGAAGCAACACTGAACCAGTAGCTGACAATACCTGCAAGGGTGGGTTTCCTGACTTGCTCATCTTCTCTAGGCCTCTCTAGTCTAGCATCATCTCCAAAACGGAAAGTGTGTATTAGCTTAGTGATTTTTTTCCTAACATAATGCCCAACCCTGCATGAAATTTGTATTTCAGCCCCCATTAACATCAGAATGATAAAACCCATGAATTGTGTAAGAATGTATATTTAATTTTTTGTATATTTAATTTTGAGCTTTATAAAATTTTGTAAAAGACAAGTTATATAAATGTGCATAAAATCATACTATTTTATGTTCCAATTGACTTTATTATATATATATTATATCAAATATATACATATGCTGTAGAATAGATACTATAGAAATACATATGCAGTAGAAAAAGACATTTTAAAATTATAAAATTCAAAACTTGGTAATTTTTAAACTTTTTCTTTCATCCTCAGTTTTTCTTTAGTTCCATAAAATCCAAATCTCCAGAAATCACCAAGCTTAAATAGCCTTAATGTGTCTTTTGTTTCTAAGAATCTACAAAATTCACTATTGGTCATAAATTTTACATTAATTTTCTCCTTTACCGGATGCCTTATTATTGTAATGCCTAAGAGGTAAGGAAGTCTTTCTGTTTGCAATGAATTTTCCCAATTGTTTTCCAGGGCCATTATATTAAATATGTTTAACATGAACATTTAATAAACTCAAGCAATGTAACTTTTATGCTATTAATACTTAACTGTTAATTAAAAATTAGGCTTTCTCCTGCTATTTGCTAACTAACCAAAACTAAGCTAGAAAAGTAATTAACCTATAATCTAAACTGGTATCACTTTCAGCCTAATCTACTTTCCAAAATAGGACATCAATCAGATCACGCTCTGTATCAACTATGTAACAGGAAGTCATTTCATTTGAAGAGTATAAAAGAAACACAAACATGGCCCTTTTTCTCATTCCAGAGAATATTTTTTCAAGTATTGCTCTGTAAATTAAATGCAGCATATCTTATACAACCTTCTAGCACAATTCTTTAGAACATCTAACAAGTTATATAAAATATTTTGAGGTTCAGTAAGCCTAGAAATTCAGTATATGCAAAAAAACTTCATGGAAAATGTACTGGTGAATAGTAATAAATTAAAATACAAACAACCAGTATCATTCAACTGTTTTCATTAATAGAAAACAATGTGAAAATAAAGAATAAATAGGTTTATGGATCTCCATGAGAAAGTGGTACTCTTATTAATCTAACAAATTAACCTTTGACATTTATCAAGCAATTCTTATTCACTGTCAATAATTATTTAGCTATTTGTTATGTTATGCCCCTTGTCACCAAAATTTTAAGTGCTCTACCTAAGAAAACTCAAAATATAAAGCAATCACGTTCCTTGGTATCCTTATAAGATTATTTAAAACTGGAAAAAAATCAACCTAAATATTAAGTAACTTTTAGCATGTAAACATTTAAAGGGTATATTATTACCATTAAAATTATAAAAAGTAAAGACAGAAAAATCATATGTACTCTATCAGAACTGATACAAAGGTCTATACAAAAATTGCTTAAATGACGGTTCAAGAATGGATAGAATTATAGCTTCCATTTTCTTTTCCAAACTTTTATTTTTATAAATTTTGAAATATATATTTAATTATTAATTTAGTTAGTTTACATGGTGGAATATATTTAAAGTTTCGTGAATGCTTGGAAGTAGCTCTATCTGAACCTGAAATGAGCTAATTTTCCCAACTTTTTCAAGGATGAGAAAATTACTAAAACAGAAAGAATGGGTATTCATGGGCCTCATTCCAACAGTTAGCTCGAAGGCACATTTGCAGTTACTTCAGCCAATTGAAACTCCTACTCTGAATGCATTTTGTATGTGACAAGCAATATATTATTCCAAGTGTGATACTCAGCTTTCAAGTGAGTGAGGTCAAAGGCGAGTTTTAAAGGTCATCTCATGACAAGAGGGCCATTTTTCTCGAATAAAAGTGATAATTATCACTACATTCTGAAAACAAGAGTAATGTACTACGAAACTATTTGACACTGTACTTCTCCACATATTTAGACACAGTGATGTCAAAACTAAACAGCATCCAATAGAAGTGATGCATCAGCATAAAATCAAGCATTCAAAAGTCTTGACAAGACACAAAAGCACCTAGAAGTCACACTGATGTCAACCAATTATTCAAGAAGAGTGGCAGCAGAACAGATAGATGAGCTCAAAAAGAGAGAGAGAGAGTGAGAGAGATGGTAACTCATTTTTACCGAAAATGACATTTTAAAATTATATTTCCATAGATAGGAAGGGAGGGAAGTAGATTAGAGAACATGTATTTTTCATATTATAGAAATTATAAGTAGGAATCAGACATTAGAGCATTGAATGATTTAATGTGTCATTTATCTTCCTCATATCAATAACCCTTACTTAAATCCCAGCTGCCGACACACCACGTATGTATTCAGCTCAGTCCAGCCATCATCACAGACAGTTCCCCACTGTGCCCTGTAATACACTTCCAGGCGACCCTCTTGGTTACTTTTTCCACCTGCAAGCCTGATGATGCCATCTGTAATAAAAAGGAGACCCAAAGACTAAAGTAGATCCACTCGCAAAACAAGGTGAAAAATATTTTCATTTCATGGCAAATATCACCATATTCAGACTTCTCTCTAGGCTTTCTGTTGAATTCATAACTCTGTTCAGTGAACTAAAGTCATTGCATTGTTCTTGAAGTTTGACATAATACATATCTGTCCTAATAAAATACTTTTTCTTTTTCTTCCTATTTTTGGGCAGAACAATACATTTTGCTACAATTCCAAGAGCAGAGAATGAATGCTCAGGAAGATGAAGTTCTTCAGCTTAAAATCTAGTGATCTATATTATACATAGCCATGTTGCTCTGCTGATAAAATCAGCAGCCTATTATAGAAGTCTGTCAATAAAGAGATATACATGCAGTATTTTGTAAGTCTTAAGAAGCTGTTCTTTTGATTTTGGTTAAAAAAGATACTGAAACAGAATTGTTTTTCTCTGAATTCTCTTTAACCATAAGAACAACAGATTTGGGATCCACTTCCTTCTTCCACACCCAAGCATCTATGTCCTATGCTCTCAGACATACCCTTCTCCTAACATTTGGCATATCCTATCAAGATAGGTATGCTGCAACCAGGAATAGTCTCAACATCGAGTATAAAAAAGGCAACTTGGTTCATTTAACCATTTTTTAAAATTGCACCAGTACCATTGTACCTAGTACAAGCACATTGTAATATTCAAGCCTGTTGGATAGATGAATGGACTAAAGGTATAACACCCAATATTTGAAATTTATCACTGCATACAAATTCTGATTACTGAGTATTATGTGTATCAACACTGACACATTTTCTGACCTATACTCACAAGATTGTGTAGTCTGAAATATGAACATAAAGAAATATCTATGGTTGAAGAGGTAACATTTAATAACAATTTGTGTTAGATTGCTTTTGTTTTATTTGGAGGATTTTTCCTGTGTGTTCATTGGACAAAACTGTTCAGACTGAGTACATAGGCAGATGAAGCAAGTCCAAAGGAGGCCTGGCAGGACTTACTGCATTAATAGGATGAGAGCCTCACCTGTCAGAGGAGTACAGGACACCCCAGCATCTTCCTTATGGCCACAGTTATGCTCTCCCCAGGATCTTTTTGGACATTGTTCAATAGAAAGCTCATTTCCAGTGCAGCGTACTTCATCCAACATGATTGGGCCAGATCCTTCCCCAAAATACGCCTTATTCCATGCTTTGGCAATGCCACTGGATAAACAAAAGAAAACAGGAATTCTTGATTACACTGCATTAGTTGGTTGCCCGGAAAATCATATTTTCAAATTTGCACTTATCAAGTGACTCCACATATCTGCACTGCTTTACCTGTTGCCATTCTTCATATCTTCTGCATTGCACATGTTTCAAAAACTGCTGCATATTATCTGTTACAGTCCCTCTTTTCCTTCACCAGTTTTAGAGCTCAGATTTCCAGAACAGCAATGGTATTGAAATTAAAAACAATATTTCCTATCTTCCCCGCCTCTACTTTACTAGTTAATCAGGTTGTGTTTTGTGAAACAGACATAAGGTTTTTCACTTTTAATCATTTCAAGGCATATATCACGTCAAATGCATTTACACATTTTAAAAGATCTTTTTATTTACTTGAAAGACAAAGTGACAGAGGGAGAAAGAAATAGAGAGAACTTCCACCCACTGGTTCATTTCTAAAATAGTTGCAACAGCCAGGGCTAGGATGACCCAAAGCCAGGAACCAGGAGCCTCTACCACATCACCCACACAGGTCCAGGGACCTGAGGACTTGGAACATATGCTACTGCTTTCCCAGATACAAAAACAGGGAGTACAATCGGAAATGGAATAACTCAGATTCTGCCCATATGGGATGCTGGTACTGTTGGTGGGCAGCTAACCTGCTACACCACAACACCAGCCATGCAATCACGTTATTATACATCTATCACTATTATCCATTACCAGAGCTTTTTTTTAACATTCCCAAATGAAAATTCCATCCCCTGTAAATGGCTAATTTATGAGTGGTATTTAGGCAGAAATAGGTGGCACATACAACTTCTAGGAAATTGCTTTGTTCCAGGCCAGATGCAATGGCTCAGTGGCTAAATCCTCACCTTGCACAGACCAGCATTCCATATGATTTCTGCTTTGTGCCCCAGCTGCTCCACTTTCCATCCAACTACCTGTTTGTGACCTGGGAAAGCAGTGTAGGATGGCCCAAAGCTTTGGAATCGGATCAGCTTTGAATCTGCCCTGCCCTGGCCCTTGTGGACATTTGGGGAGTGAACCAGCAGACGGAGGATCTTTCTGTCTCCCCTTCTCTCTGTAAATCTCTTATTTCAATACAAATAATAAGTAAATCTTAAAAAAGGCTGTGCCCGGGATGGTAGCCTACCAGCTAAAATCATTGCCTTAAACGCACCAGGATCCCATATTGGTGCTAATTCTAATCCCAGCAGCCCCTTTTCCCATCCAGCTCCCTTCTTGTGGTCTGGGAGAGCAGTTGAGGATGGCCCAAAACCTTGGGACCTTACACCTGCATGGGAGACCCAGAAGAGGCTCCTGGCTTCTGGCTTTGGAACGGCATAGCTCCTGCCATTGCAGCCACTTGGGGAGTGAATAAATGGATGGAAGAGCTTCCTCTCTGTTTTTCCTCCTCTCTATATATCTGACTTTGTAATAAAAATGAATAAATCTTAAAAAAGAAAGGCATGGCCTTGTTCCACTCCCTCTTCCTGCCTGTTGTCTGCAGGCTTGAGACAGAGACACTGTCTCAGGTCACAGGTTAACATACTAAGCAGGACAGAATGGATGACTGTGGAACTGCCACAGTCACGCTGGATACCTCTTTCATTAAGAAACAGACTCCCGTCACAATCTGCTTTAGCTGCTGTTACTTTCAATTCCCTTAATAACAGCCAAATCTATTTCTCATCAAAATATCTTTTTCATTCAAGTTTATCTGTAGTATATGTACTTCCCCCAGAATTCAGAGTGATACCATATTATAGAACCCCAGATTTCTATAAACACTATGACTGTCTGTTAAAATGATCAAAGATTTCAAACACTTCAAGTTTAGACCATCTCAGCCATCTAATTGCTAGACTTCAGTATTTATATTTTTAGTTTGCTTTTTGATGACACTGCATCTATTTGCATTATTTGAGTAGCTCTTTTCTCATAACATTATAACTATCCTGAAAAATTATAATGAAAATATACTGAGGGTCCAGCATTGTGACCCAATAGCTTAAGCTGTTAACACCGGCTATTATCCCTGCATCCCATATGCATTCCAGCTGTAATTCTGGCTGCTCAGCTTCAAATCGAGCTCCCTGATTCAATGCTTTGGAAAGCAGCAGAATGTGGCCCAAGTACTTGGGTCCCTGACACCTATTTGGAGGTATGGATGCAAGGCCAGGTTCCCAAATTTGGCATTTGTAGGAGTGAACCAACAGACAGAAAATTGATTTTTTTCTCTCTCTCTCTCCAACAGTCTTTCAAATAAATAAATATTTTTTAAATATACTGAAAGAAAAAAGTGTGCTAAATGTCTATAATGCCCCCAAATGACAAGTTTTTACAAAATCAGAGGAGATATTCCAGAAATTCTTTTAAGAGAACCAGTGTCTAAAAGTCAAACATCCAAAAGCTACAAGTGAAGCATTTCTTTAAGTCACCTGACAGACCTTATCTAAGGTGCAAGGGGAGAGTGTGCAAAGGAAGGCATAACGGAACAACCACAGCAAAGGGTGTGAAGGGAGCTGAGGAAAGCAGTAGCAGATTTACTTTCCACTTAAGCAGGATGTTTCTGTGGACCTAAAATGTAGAATCCAGACTGCTGAATCACTACCTGGCTTTTGCAGTGCAAGTGGATTCTGAGCAGTGTGTCCCAGCAAATGGTAATGACTGTTATACCAGACAATTGTGAAGAAAACACAATAAAAGACTCCATGGGGACTGTGCTCTTGCACAGCAGGCTAAGCTTCCACCTGCACCAGCATCCCATGTGGTCGGTGGTTCATGCCCTAGGTGTCCCACTTTCAATCCAGTTCTCTGCTTTTGGCCAGGAAGGCAGAGCAGGGTGCCCCAAGTCTTTGGACCCCCTACATCCACATGGGAGACCCAGGAAACTGCTGGCTCCTGGCTTCAGATCAGATCAACTCCAGCTGTTGTGGCCATTTGGAGAATGAAAGTTCTCTCCTAGTCTGTACTTCTCTCTCTGCAACTTTGCCTTTCAAATAAAAATAAACTTTTTTAAAGTCTCCGAATACAAATGCTACTATCAAAATACTTTTCTGAATATGACTGAACAGAAAATAATTTCTACTCCTCTGGCAAGCAGTAATAAGTGCTGATCTTACAGGATTTTAACATAAAGTGTTGAAGGGCTGGTATGGTGGTACAGCATACTAATCCTCTACCTTGTGACCGCAGCATTCAATATCGGTTTGTGTTTCAGCTACTCCACTTCTAATCCAACTCTCTGACTATGGCCTGGGAGGGCAGCAGAAGTTAGCCCAAGTTCCTGAAACCCTGCACCTAGGTGGAAGAGCCAGAAGATACTACTGGCCTTCCAGCTTAGGATTGGCTCATTTCTGGACATTGCAGTCACTTGGAGAGTAAATCAGGGGATAGAAGACCTTCTCTTTCTGTAAAAAAAATCTGTCTTTAAATAAAAATAAGCAAATATTTAAAAAAAATAAAGTGTTGTGTTATTTCAATGTGCATATGTGTACTGAAGAGTATGACAGCCAGGTATAAAGCTTCATCATGATAATTCCCCTTTCTCCATGCAGAATATGTCCTAAGCCCCTATTTATACCTGAAATCTCTTATATTATCAGATGTAATTTATTCTATTTTTTTCCATATTCATAGCCACCTATGATAAAGTTCAATTAAGACATTCAGAACATTCAATTGATCATCCATAAGAGACGTTTTGATTGTTTGTTCACCTGTGGTTGTATATGTCCCTTCCAAAACTGTTTTTGCTACATCTCATGGGTAACGATGTTCTAGTTTTTGTTGTCATTTCTTCAGTACCACATGGGTCATTTCTACAAGGAGGTTTTAAATTTTCTTTTTCATCACTTTAGGGACACATTGGTAATTCTGTGGCATGTTGTTTAACTTCATGTTGATGTACATTTTCTGTTTTTCTCCCCATTGTGGACTGACTCTGTATTTAAAGGGATGTATAACAGAAGTGTAGCAGAGACTGCCATGTCTAAATGTGGAGAAAAAGTGCATTTTATCTCCATGCATCCAGACCAAAGATGGGCTCCCAATGAAACCACTGAAAATACCCTGACAATAGGATGGTGGACTCTCCAACATTGTCCCTGCCTACAATGTTGGGAAACACTTCAAAAGTGGAATGGATGAACTTATGACTATTCACGAAGGACCATCAATTATAATACTAGGGAAGAAATCAATAGATGGTGGAGGGTATTTGGGGAGGGAGATGGGAAATCCCAGAGCGTACAGAACTGTATCATAAAACAAAAATAAATAATAATTAAAAAAAACAAATTAGGCACAGTAGCAGATTTAAAACAACGGGTAATAATGAAATAGAAAATCATAATAATACACTATAATAAAACTTGTATGACTGCAGTTTCACAGATCATCTTATTGTACTTACCGCTCTCCTTCCTATAAGGTGAGATAATACAAGCCTACCGGATGAGATGAAGCGAGGTGAACTACACAGTGATGGTGACGCAGCTGGCATTAGGCTAGCTCTGAAGGATGATGCTAGTAGTCATACTATGATGTCCCAATACTAGACCTGATAACAGAGGTAGCTTCTAGGTGACTAATGGTTGGGTAGCTTATACAACTCTGCACAAAGGGTGATTCAGGCCTCGGTCAGACCACACATGATTTTACCATGCTACTCAGAATGACAATTTAAAATAGTAAATTTGCCATTTAGTAGTTTTGTACCATAGAAAACTGAAATTGCTGAAAGCAAAACCACATATGGAAAAACTGGGGTTCAGGGATGGGGTGATATGGTATTTAGTTTTGGGTTCTCCCTTCAGCAAGAGGGGCTACCCTAGGGAAATTACTAAAACCATTTAGTCCTAGCAAGCTCCATCTGAACATGAGGATGATAAACAAGGATCTTGTGGGACATGGAGCTTGAGCCTACATCAAGTACGAGTTTAATCAATGCTGACTCCCTTTCTTTTAGCACTGTTAAGGGG